TTACACTGTATATATTCTAAAAAATAGTTTTAAAATGCAAAATAAATGAAAAAAATCCAAAAATTCTTTTTTTTAAATATTATTTTCGGAACTTGAATTAACTAAAAAAAATTAAAAAATAAATAAAATAATGTATCTCACGGTCTCATAAAATTAAGCCGTTTTACATGAACCTAACCATATATATATATATATATATATATATATATATATATATATATATATATATATATATTATAATTTTAGTATTTCATGGTCGATGACATTAACTTAAATATTTTTAACAATATATCTTTGTTATTATCTATATAAATATATTTTTGCGCAAAGCATAAAGCTAATTTAATTATGTTGCTGGCCAAATCTACAACCATTCTATCATAATAAATTGTGTATTTATTTATGTTGTAATTATTTGGTGGTGTGCAGAACTTGTGTACCCGGGAAGGGTGTTTACCAACTACGCCGTCCCCGGGGATGACGTAGTAATCGCGGATGAGAATGTCGCGACAAAGGGTGCTGCCTTTGGTACTACTCTTATTTTACGTGTCTCCCGAAGAGATTTCATACTATCGGATTCGGATAGTGCGAACAGCTTTCGTCGTTTTTTGACTAAAGACATTCAATTTCGATCATTACTCCAGATTCCGTAATCTGACGTGAACTGTTGGATAGTCGGTTCGAGGGCAAGGAAGGAAGTATACCATATCCATACAACTAATATTGTTTATGATTTTCATCAACTATTTAATGTTGTGAACCGCTACTTTTTTTTGAACGGCAAGGAAAAAAAGAAGCCAGCAGGACCCTGGGCAATCACAGTACATACAGAAGATGAATTACGAAGAGAGAGAGAGAGAGAGAGAGAGAGAATATATATTGTAGATAAGACATCCTAGATTAAGTTAATGTTGATCTGGAAGTTTAATTGGAATCCAAAACATGTTTACAACCAGATTCTCCACCTAGATTGCTTGAGGCATCGACGACCTTTTATTGAAGCAACACCGACAGGGTAGTTCTGCACTACGGGTGAGATGCTTGTGCATCAAAGCAAACTACCCCTCCAGAAGACTAGATTTTACCGGATTTTTGTTCCTTGACGATCCTCCAGGTGCGAATATGAGATCCTTTATGAAAATTCTTCAAATATATCTTCCAGGCTTGCATGTGTGAGCCCCAATTTTTTATGGCCTTGACGATTCTCCAGGAGCGAATTTGTGGATCTTATGGAATTTTTGCAGTTGCGTCCAACTCCAAGAAATGCAATTGAGAGATCCTTCAAGATGTTTTACGACTACCTCCAAAACCAGGAGTGAGTTGAGGGAACCTGCAAGAATAAACAAACACGAATATAGAAAACACACACCAAAATAACATAGATAGTTAAAAGGTGTATGGTGTCGGTGGTAACGATAGAGACCGCCTGTCGACCTTGCATCTCAATGACTCTTTTTTTTGGAGACCGTAACCATAGACAAAAGATCATAATCAACACCATTAAAATGTTTGCCAAAGTCTATCAACCATGCAACCAGTTGTAAGATATATATGTCGTTCCTAATGATTAATTAAAGTGATTAACTAGTTAATCTCCATTTCTAATAAATAAATAGCTTGAATCTCGTACTGCCACGTGTCAAAGTAACGTGTCAAAGTCTTTAACTGCCATGTGTATGCCTCTTAAACTTCCTAAATTCAACGTCTAACTACCACATCTAAGATTTGATTTCATATCAGCTCCGACAAATTAGCAGATCAATTTTAATGATCCTAATTTACCTGCATTTAAATATAGAGAATACATATATGATATCCCTAAAAATAAGTTATTCATATTCCAATTTCCCCCTACATATGAGCACATTGTAATCGGTTTAAATGGAATGTTTATAATTTGTTTAGTAACAAATAAAAAGAAATTTTATAAAACAACTAACCAACATTCTTCCTCATCTCTACCATGTCTAAACTATAAATACCAACTTCATCTCACAATAAAAAAAATATCATTATTTTCTATCTCATCATCCTCTATAATTATAGAAGACACATCTATTTGATTCACATAGCTTCCATTCATTGGGTAAGTGTATTACATTTTACCTATTTTCTTTTATATTGACAATTGTTTACCAGAACTCTGCAATCTGTATTTTTTTTTTTTTTTCAAATTAAACAGGTAATTTTATATGTATAATTACTTATCTTATTTAAAAATAATGAACAAGGAAGAATAATTCCAATAGATCAATGTTAAATCTTACCGTTGTCACATGGTGTACGTCGGTTTGTTAAGTCGACTTCAAAAACTACGGTGAAAGTCATATCACTTTCAATTTCAAAGGTTGATCCTTCTGATGTGTAATCGACACCAATCGTGTGGAAAAGGGGTTTAATTGAGTTTAATTGACATGTAATCGATGGATGGTTTGATTGAAGTAGGCAGACATTCAGGTATGTGAAAAATAGAAACGGAAGAAAGATTGGCGGTGGTGTCGGAAAATTAGAATGACGATAGTCTTAGGGCAAGAATATGGTTTTATTTTGAATGCATATTATTGGATTTCCCTTTGTATCAATGTAGTCTATATTTCCCAAATGGATACAAAATTTGTTTTGTAAATTAAAAGAAATGTCGAAAACATAGAAATGATATGTGAACATTTATGTAATCACATAAACCGTATTGATATTTTATATTTTACCCTTACCATTTATTAATTAAGATTTTTTATTATATATATTAAATTTATATATAAATTATATTTATATGTTTAACTATGAATTATATTTAAATATTTTATTGTACTTATTCATTATGCTTAAAATAACTATGCACCCTACTTAATTATACACGAAAAAGTAACATAATTAATTTAAACTTATTTATTATTTAATATAATTAAAATTTATTTATTATAACTTATATTTCTTTATGATTTTGTAAGTAAATTTTTAAAATTTTATATGAATTATGTTTAACTTTACGTATTTATTATTATTATTAATTAAAATTCTTTTCTTTGACTACAAGTTTAAAAAAATAACATGATTATACCACCTTAAATAGCAACAAAAAAAATTAAAGAACTTAAAATCCAAAAATATATCTACCATGTTGGCCTAACTTCATTCACCATACAAATATATTTAGAGTAAATTACACGAATGGTTCCTATGGTTTAGGGTAATTTACACATTTGATCTCTAATTTATTTTTTTAACTAAGAAGGTTCTTATTGTTTGTTTTTTTATAGGTTTGGTCCCTGTTTAACTAGAAAGACCATTTTGCCATTGATTTTTTAATTTATTTAAATTAACACACCCCTACCCCCACCTCTCACATTACCTTACATACCTCATTATTTTTCTCTATTTAAATAATAGTCTTTTTAGGTAAGAAATGAGCCAAGCGCATAATAAAAACAAACAATAAGGATCAAGCGCGTAACAAAAACAAATAGTAAGGACTTTCCGAGATAAAAATAATAAGGTATGAACCAAACGCATAAATTACTCCAAATCATAGGGACCATTCGTGTAATTTACTCATTTTTTTAACATCAGCATAATCATAAGATGGACTTTTATTTTATTGTTATTCTTCCTATAACTTTTATAAACTATTTCAAATATATATGATTCTCTTTATGAATGTTTACTTTTTATTATTAACAACTATTTCAGATATATTTCATTTTCTTTGTTATGAATGTTTACTTTTTGTTATTAACTAAATTTATAATTGTATATAGCATACGTCTTCAATCATCAACAACATAAATAACATCTTAAAATTATAATGTCTGTCAAATCATATATTAGTTTTAAAAATCGGGATTCCATTTATGTTACTTAAAAATACCGATCAAAAAAATGTCTTATATAATGGTAGTAGATTATAAATGATATCTTTATGTAAACATGTTATTGACCAAGTTCTTGTATTCTGAAGTAATATTCAAAATCAAGCATGTATTCCATATATAATTCCTTAATTTTTTTTTATAATATATGTTTATTTTAAAACGTTAATTCTCTTAATTTTCTTACGGTCAAAGTTATGTTACTTATTTTTATAATTTATTTTATTTTTTATCTATACAATAATTATAAAAATAATAATCTTGGTTTCCACATGTTATAAACTAGTTATTAATATAATAAATAACATAATAAACTAATTAAGTAATAATCTAAGAAATGTGAAGATAATCCTCCACACACAAACGTAAATCATCATCCATGCATTGGCCCTCTGAGTTTCATCCTCCACACACAAACGTAAATCATCATCCATGCATTGGCCCTCTGAGTTTCACTTAGTGGGTCTTCATATAGTCTATCGAAATATCCAACAATGAACAAAAACATATGTTATCCTGAAAATAGCTCTATACAAGCACTAAACCCTCTCACCTTAATCTTTTTTTGGAAACGACTATATATTATAAAAAACACTCAACCTAGAAGCAAGAAGCTAAAGGAGAGGAAACATCTTACATAATACAAGAGAAGGTTAGAGTTTAACATATCACAAAAGGTTAGAGTTTCTCGTTACGTTAGATTGCTTTGAATCATAATCCAAGGAAAACTATGCGTTGGTTTAAGAGGATATATACAACCACATTGATGTTCAAAATCTTAATAATCAAAACATAAGTTTCGATAAACATCAAAATACGCAAAAAGGGCTTAGGGTTTATAAATATTTTAGGGTTTTCGCGATATATTAAATCAGTAAACTACGAATTTAGTTAAATGTTTAATGAGAAAGAACATATTCAACATACAAAACAAGAACATACTAATGATTCAACATGAATTTAAGCAAAACCTCAAAAATATTACGTACCACAAAAATCCAATCTTTTACAATCTTACCCTTGACGTGTACTCTCATGAAACTATGGAAAACATGTTTAAAATAACTTAATACTGTGAACGAAATGAAGGGTATAACCGGAAAACAAAAAAACCAACCTATCTTATCTAATCTATCTCCAACCCATATTATTACCCACACCTTGTGGATTGCTATTATTACTCTGTCCAACTCCAACTGGGCTCCCCAGCCCACCACCTGAAGACTCACTCAAACTCAAACTCCCACCAGACACAGGGTGGTTCGCCGGAGCATTCACAACTTCAGCTTCATTATTATTATTAGTAGTAGTAGTAGTATTATTACCTTTTCCTCCTTTCACCTGTCTCTGAGTCGCCGGAATAAAACTACCAACAATCACCTGAACTGGCGTAGCGGCAGTCAGAAGCCCCGCCACGTTGCCGCCCAACACCCGCCCATCTGGCCCAGATAACGCCACACTCAACCCACCGGTTCTACTCCGTTGACCATCTTCACTTTCAGACGCCATGAATGAACCAGAAAGTGACAGGATCTCAAATCTTCCCTGTAATATTGAAGAAACGATGAGTTTCAACTTTGAATGAAATTACTTAAATGACCTTTTGATGGTGACGCTGACAGACCTCATAGGTGACTGTTCCACCCGATGTTGCTGTTTGTTGAAGTGTGATGTTTGATATTGAACCACTTGCTGATAGAATGCATAGAGCTCTTGTGCTGTTTTGAGAAAACCATACAAGTTTTGCTAATACATCCTGTATTCAAAAAACATTATGAGTTTCTATGAATGAATTATAATGAAGAAAGAAAAAAAGGATCATAGATGTAGCCATGTAGGTACCTCTCCAGATTTCACATCAAGAATATGTGGCATGAATCCTGCTCCAGGTAACCCTGAAAGTATGATTTGAATCTTGTTGAATAATCATGGAGATTTCACTTTTCAATAGTCTTTAATCTTGAGTTAAGAATATAATTAGGGAATTGAAACGAAAAGGTGATTAATTTGGAAGATAGTGCTTAAAAAACTCTGGTTTACCTTTTCTCCTTTTATAAATGTTGGAAAGTGATAAAGCTAAAGAAGAATATGGAGGAAAAAAACAAAGAAAATGTGAAAAATTTAGTGTAGCATCATCCTCAGATGTTATTTTAATATGTGCACATTCATGATTTCATCAAAATCTATTAACTTAATCACAAAGCTAATAAAATAAAGATCTGAAAGGGTAATATAATGTGCAAAACGTGAAGTGTTGATGAAAACAATGAATAAAATATTGTATCTACGTATGATTATAATCTGAATCGTTATGTATATAAGCATATAGCAATGTACCTGAAGCAGCAGGCTGCTGTTTATTTCCAGAACCCGGAGGTCTACCCCTTGGTCTCTTCGCTGAAGAAGGTGCCGGAGACGAGAAGTCGCCGGATTGTCCAGCCGCTGGACCATGCAGTGCCGCCGCCGGAGGCGTAGAGCCATCAGGCGCGTACTTTCTCGGCCTTCCTCTCTTCCGCTTTACTACATCGTTTCCATTGAAGTTGATCCCTGTCGTAACTGCTAACGCGTAATTGTTTTCACCAGGATCTCCGCCTCCGTCGTTGATGCCGTTAGGGTTGTTGTAATCAGGCGTTGGTGACGGCGACGTAGGTTGCACCATATGTGTATATGACGGCGTTCCGTCGGCGTTATATGTTAATCGGATGTTGTTCATCGTTGATGCTTCGTATGACATGATTCCGTCGTCTCTGCTATAAATTCAAACTAATAAACCCTATGATTCAACTGCAAAACCCTAAAATTTAAGAGATCAATCGAAGTTTACACATTCAGATTCTCTTCATGATCTCAACATCTACTTCGAAAATTTCTTTTGTATTACTGAAAATCCACTGAAATTTGAATGAATTTCAGCCTTTGAGGTAACTAAAAAAGAGAAAATTATCACAATTCACAAAATTTTCATTCGTTGAATTGTTGATAATAAGAAAAAAATTAATTTAAAAGGGTTTAACAAAAAAAAAATTAAAAATATTGTGAGATTGTTAATTAAGAAAGTAATATTTCTAGGGTTTCTTTACACATACCGTGATAGTCAATTATATATTCCAACCAGAACAGTCAATTATATTCGGTAAAGAAACATTACTTGTTTATAATAAATTTTGATATATATATATATATATATATATATATATATATATATATATATATATATATATATATATATATATATATATATATATATGATTTGATAACATTAACAAACATGTCATAATTTCCTTTTTCAAAATTGGTTATTTGTATTATAATTAGATTGACATATAAATTTATATAACTTGATAGGATTATAAAAAATAGAAATAAGATAATTATTCAAATCAACCAAAGAAAATAAATATAATTTACTTAATAACCATATTTTGGCAAAATATATATATATATATATATATATATATATATATATATATATATATATGTATGATGTTCAATAAAGAACCATAATTAACCAAGGAACCAATCTTTTTTTTTTAATTTTTACAACTTATTTTTTATCAGAAAAAAAACTAAAAATACAGAAATTCATAATTTTTTATCCTTTTTCCAATGATATCAAATTCGAAAAAAATCATCAAATTCACAATGTTAATCTTTGAAAATTCACAATGTGAATCCGAAAGTATTTTTCACATTCACAATGTTAATATATGAATTTAGATACTTTTAGATTTTTTTTTATAAAGATTAAGCTCTAGAACTTGAAAAAAAAGATTTGGTTCATTGAAAAACCGATAATTATGGTTCTCTATTGAATTTTTCCGTATATATATATATATATATATATATATATATATATATATATATATATATATATATATATATATATATATATATATAAGTTCATTAGAGAACCAATATGGATCAAAGAACCAATGAACTCATCTTAACCATATATTTTCTTTTAATCCTGGCTATTAATCCTTCATTAACCAAAAAAAAAAAAAAAAACATGAAGGGGCATTTTGGTAAGTTCAGCGTCTCGTTTAGTATTCCTGTTTGCCTGCGTTAGCGTCTTCTGTTACTGTCATTCATCTTCTAACACTGATCGATCCAAAATCACGCCTGCTCTTCAAAATCTTAACATTTTTCATCCAATTTACTAATAGTTTCCTCAGATTTCAGTTAATAATCAGGTATTTTTAACATCTATTCATCATTTCGTTTATGATTATTAGGTCAATTATGGACTTTGATATTACTTTTTTTTTTCCGATGCATTGTTTATCAATCTTATTTTTATTGTTATTGCAATCGTCTGATTGTCAAATTCTCTTGATTTTACCGTTTAATATTTAGATTGTTATGTTTTGTATTGTTAATTTGCTAATTGTATGTCATATGTTGAATATCCGTTTAATGTTTCGTTTGTAATGCATATTTGACATTTAGATAATCAATTATATCTTGTGCGTCTTCTGTCATTTAAGTTATTTCCAAACTTTTAGTGATTGTGAGAATGTTATCTTATCTTATGCATATATTTTAAAGTTTTATGATTATCTTGTTTACTTGTTTCCTTTTTTGTATAATTATCAATTCTAAATTTCTAATCTGTATAAAAACTCCAGGTTAACAATGATTCGTTACGAGTTCTCTGAATTCTTGTTCGGATTTGCATTCAACTATTAATTAACAATCACGTAAGTTTTTTTTTCTTAATATAAATTTCACATTTTCTATATAATGTAATAAAATAGATGTTTTTTTAGTTTTGTAGTTCATGATCAATCGTCTTCAAATATGAATATTGATCATTCAAATATCAGTAATTATTGTTCATATTTGCATTCAATTATTAATGAACAATCACGTAAGTTATTTTTCTTCATATAAATTTCACATTTTATATATAATCTAATAAAATAGATGTTTTGTTTGGTTTTACAGTTCATGATCAATCATCTTCATGTATGAATATTGATCATTCAAATAGCAGTAATTCTCGTTATAGTTTTGATTTTGAGCTCTCCAATACTAAAACTTTTAAGCTTGATCCTTATGATAAGTTGATACATAAGAAGCCTTTCAAAGGATTGTTGTTTGATTCGTTGTACATTGGTCTTGACTTTTACAAGACTTATGGTCAAGAATCTGGTTTTGATGTGAATATGTCAAGTAAAAAAAGATACAATGATGGTATAATTCGTATTAGATATTCGACATGTAGTAGATCTGGTTTCACAGAGATATTCAAGAATAAAAATAATAATGTGAAATTTTAAGATGTTAAGAGAAGGAGAACTTCTTCTAAGAAGAACGAATTCCCTGTTGTTTCAAAGTTCAAGAATCTCCGATGTTCTTTAATGTTCTACATTTATGTGTTTGTTGAAGATCACAACCATGAACTTGTTTCTCAAGATAAGTTGCACTTATTAAGGATTAATAGGACAATGGATTTTCTTGATGAATCCTTTGTACATACGGTTGGTACTTGTAACATTGGTGCTTCAAAAGATTATAACTTGGTGAGTAATATGAATGGTGACTTTGATTCTAGGGGAATGACTGCAGTTGACTTTAAAAATTTTCGTAGAGATTTAAATTCTAAAATTGGCGTCAAAGATTCCCAAATGGTTGTGGATATATTGACAAACAGAAATTTGTGTTTCTCTAATTTTTCATTTGAGGTCCAAAAAGATGTTGATGATCATCTTACTAGACTTTTTTGGGCTGATGATACTTCGAAAGCCAACTATAAAGAATTTGGAGATGTACTATCTTTTGATGCTACTTATCAAACAAAAAGTAATTCTTAATCCTTATTTGTTCTTTTTATAGTATTTGTTCTTTTTAATAATACTTATAAAAAAAATTCAGGTATTCTATGAAATTTGTTCTTTTTACTGGAGTTGACTACCACAAGCGTTGTGTTACTTTTACTGCTGAGTTACTAGCTTGTGAGACAGCAGATGCATATATGTGGTTGCTTGAAGTGTTTCTTAAAGCATTTGTCAAGCCACCCATGATGATTGTAACAGATCAGGATTCATCAATGAAGAAAACTATTAATTTTGTTTTTCCTAAATCGAAGCATATAATATGCATGTGGCACATCACTCAAAAACTTGAGGAAAATGTATATTCTTTGTTTCTTGATTCCTATATATGTTTATAACCATATAGATCATAAAGCACATTGTGAATTCACAATGTAAATGCGCATATGATGAAAGGAACAAATCTAAATCATAAATCACACTGTGAATTCATAATGTTAACCAAATGTTATGTTACTATGAATTACATCAAATATTCAACATATGAAATGATTCGTATGTGTTTTTTTTAGATTCCTATTGATGTTTATAACCATCCGGACTTCCGGAAGACATTTTTTGATATTATATGGAATCTTCAATGTTCTACACAAGATTTTGAAAGTTCATGGTCAACAATGTTAGATAAGTTTCATCTAAAATAAAATGACTGGTTAGGGTCTGTTTTTAAAATAAAGGATTTATGGATTCCGGCTTTTATGAGAGATCTTGAACTTTTTGGTTTGATGTGAACTACTTCAAGATCAAAGAGTCTGGATTATGCTTTCTCACATTTTTTGCATCATAAATCAAATTTGGTGAAGTTCATGATGTCGTTTGATAGTTCAATGGAGAAACAAAGGCATCAATAATCTTTATTTGATTATCAGTCCACACCTAGTACCCCCAAGCTAAGGACTCCTTTGGCTATTGAAAAGCATGCATCGGAAATTTATACACATAATATTTTCTTGGACATTCAGAAAGAGTTATACGAATCTGTGTTTTATTGTGTTTAAGAATATTTAGTTATTAAAGATGAAAGTGAAGTTTATGTTTTAGAGATAAGAAAAAAAAGTTGATTGATAAAAATGTGAATGAGGATGAAGATTCTGATGATTTTTATCGAAATAGTCTTCCTTCTCATTGTCCTAATACTCGTTACAAGGTATGTCTCTTTGTCCTAATACAGTTTATTAACAATATAATGTAGTTTAAAAATTCACACTGTGAATGTAGGATGTTTTGTTAATTCACAATGTAAATTTTTATAGAGTTATAAATTGGTTTGTACTTTTCATTAGATTAGTATGGAATATGTATTTTTTTTGTGAGTTTGATTTGAAGTACATATTTATATTATAGTATTATGATTTCTAATGTCCCGTTGATTAATAATGTGAATCGATGTTAATTTGTATAATTTTTATCGAATGGTATGATATAGAATTTCTTATTCACATATTAATTTGTTTATTAATGATAATTTTGTAGGTTGTATTTACTAGAAGGGGTGATAGCATTAGCATCAATTGTAGCTGCATGCTTTTTATCCAGGAAGGATTGTTATGTCGTCATATGTTTTTCATATTAAATATGAAAGAGTATGATGAAATTCCATCAAATTTAATTTTGAGGAGATGGGGAAAAGATATCATAGTTGATGGATTGTTGAGAAAAAAGTATTCATATCCTCATAAAGACAGTAAAAGTGAATGTTTGATTCAAAATGCATATGCTATTCTTCGTTTGTCCATTAATAAGATAGCAAATAATGAGGATGAGTTGGCTAAATATATAAAGCAACTTCAGGAGGTTGATAGTGGTATTCCTTTATGTACCTCATCAAGGGCATCTTCAAGTAGATCAGTTCACATTGAAAAAATTATTAGAGCTGCAGTACCTAATGTTATCAACATTCATAATCCAGAGGGGATTAGAAACAAGGGATGGGTCAGTGGTAAAAGAATCAAGATTACTAGAGAGAAAGTGATTGAGAAATCTAAAAAGGGTTCTAGGTTGTGCAGTTTATGTCAAAAACCAAATCACAATGCTAGGAGTTGCATTTTGAGGTTAAAGAAGTCTGATTTAGAATCTGAGGTTATAGAAGGCTGATTGTTTCTAATTTTTTTTTTCTTTTTAAGACTACTAAAATAAGATTTGATTTTTGTAATGATCATTCAATGGATAGAAATGTTGAAATATTGATGTTAATTTTGATATTCATTGTTTTAGACTTTATTTCTAATAATAGAATATATTTTTTTCAAATTTATTGTTTTTGGTTAAAGATTTTTTTTTCTTTTTATTGTTAGTTTTTTTTTAATCTTTTATAATAAAAATTTCATGCTAATGATTTAATTTATGTATATTATTGTTAATCTCATATATAAAAATTTCATGTTAAAGATTGTCTTATTGTAATTTAATTCACATTGTGAATCTCAACTATTAATTATTCTAATGATCTATATGTATCATAATTCACATTGTGAACCCCACATATAAAATATACATGTTATAATATGTATTATAATTTACATTGTGAATCTGACATATACAATTTTCAAAAAATTAACATATAAAAAACGTAAATTTTCTATATATACTGTATTGTTATTACATTAACTTTTAATCATTTAGACCAAAAGAAATGAAGTAAATGTATGAAATGATAATTTACTTTCAATTCTTTATTCAAAGTAGAAATATAATCACTCTCTCCCCCTTCCCCCCCCCCCCACACACACACACACACACACCCACACACCAATAGCATATTTTTAATAAAACATGTAATTGTATAACATACATGTAGACATTCACATGAAAAATATAAACATCTTTTAAGTATTTTGTAAAGTTCATTATATTTGATATAGAAACTAACATCAAATTGTAACATAACAAGCATATATATGTTCTTAAAGAAATTAAAGTGCATCTAAACTTATACTAATTATGACTAGAAAACTAAGTTTTAAGTTTTACACTTCTTTTTCCAAATCTTGAAGTACTATATCCTCTCTCCCCTTTTTTCCATCCCTTGTTGAGAAAATCTTTTATTTCTTCATTAGTCTTTTTTGCGAACTTAGCTGTTTGTGCAATGATTTTTGACATGTATATGTTTGCGTCACTCAATAGTATCTTTGTTAAATACTTAATGTGTAAATCGTTTAACACACTTTGTTGTTGTTTTGATTCTTTTGGCAACCCGCATATCCAATTTACTGTTTTATCTCTCATATATGTCTCCATATGATGCATGCAAAAAACTCCATAGTCAACATGATTATCTCTCGTGCACCAATTCATGCTCACCCCTTTTGGTTCAACACCCTCTAAAGTTGAAGCTGATTTCTGATTGACCCTCATCAAGTACCTACTAAAAAGTATTTTCTGCAAAAAGAAATTGTCATTTTCTATAATTATTATTTTATTTAAATTATCAGTCTATTAATACTTATATTTATAATATAAATTTACTATTCTTACCAATTCATTAGGTGCATCATGATAAGCTCCAGAAAACTTTGCAACTGAATTCCTATTGTCAATAACATCAAACAATGGTTCCTCTAAGTTTATGCAGATGATGTAAAAGTAATTTTTTTGATGAACTGGTAAAAACACCTGTTTAATAATTTAAATTGTTAAACTTTGTTTAAAATATGTAATATATTCAACAAAAATAACAGTTTGTTACCAAGTGAACTTTTTCAAATGTCAGAAGTTCTTTGTCCTTTTTCATTGCATCTTTGATATTTGACTCAAATTGATCAAACCTTTCATTTAAAGGGATATTTTTGTCAAATATGAACTGTCTCTGCAAAAAAATTTAAATATACATCAATCTTTAAAGAGTAAATTGTTAAATTCACAATTAAGTAAAATTTGAATTTAAAATTATTCACACTGTGAATTATAATGGGATTCACTGTGTGAATTTTCTTACTTATTCAGAACTATTGTAAATTTTATTTATTGTATTATAAACATTATCATGATATATATTTTTTAATTAACTTACCACCATTGATGTATTAAAGAAATACCGATTCACTGTAGAATTTGATTTAAGCTTTTCTCCATAGTTCAAAATATTAGTCCAAGCATCAATGACATGTGCATGTACCCATAATCTTGGCTGCATTGTTTCAATAATTCCTCTTCATAGCAGATAACATCTCTTAGTCTAAAATACTTTCTCACTTAATTTGTAATCAAATAAAACAAAAAAACAGTTAATAGAAAATCAATTTGTATTTGTATTTATATACTATTGTATTTAAATAAAATATAACATAAATTATTACCTGCTATTACCAATTCTGGAAAAAATTCTATCTGATACTTTTACTTCATCTAAATCTACAAATTTTGATGCACAAACCTCTTTTTTATTATAAGGAGAAGATAGCTTCAGTGATGGTTTTTTTTAATCTTTTTCCTATTTCTCTCTTTTTTTTCTTCATTATCTTCAATTCCCAATATATTATTATCACATTCTGTTTCTTCTGAATCATAACTTTCTCCTTCATCAAGTTTTTTATTTTTTATTTCTTCATGTGTTCATATTCACTGCTTTCATCTCCTTCCTGAAACTCTTGTGTTAGACCAAGACCAAGTCCAAGTGAAAAACTAGACATTGATGATTTTCTAGTAGTATTTTATCATCTATTATTGTTTTTTTTGTTCTCTAAAACTTTTTACATTTTCAAAATCATCAAAATTTAAAATACATTGAATAGAATCAACAATCTCATGCACTATTGGATCATTGTATAAATTTCCTAGTGTTACCATGATTGGTTGATTCTTTATTTCATGTTCATTCAAATTCTCATCGCTTTTTTCTTCATCTTCATTCATGTCACTTTTTGCATCATCTTCATTTTGAGTTTTATAAATGAATTCTTGTTCAAAGACTTTCTTCGTATCTTTCAACTCATCGCTTTCTATGAATTTTGTTGTCGAAAACTCAATGAACTTTCCAAACTTCATTTTATCATTCACTAGTTTTTTGTAATTCTTTTTCGCTTTGAATACCAATTCCTACGAAATGAGATAAAAATGTCAATAAAAACGATTTTTTTTAAACTTTTTTCTATAATAAATTATAGTTTCAGAATATGAATGCATTGATGAGGTATCACATTTTTAATGCATTTTGATAAATTACATATTCACTTTGTGAATTTATTGTAGAGAAAATAATAAAATTCACTTTTATATTCACAATTGGAATCACTTTATGAATTTTATCTTAACTACAATTTTATAACATATATCTATAATATAACTTCAATTTTTATTTTAATTATATAGATTATTAACTTGCATTGAGTTTCATATCTTCATTTTCATCGGTGTCGAATTCTTCATCATTCTCTATAACATCATCATTCCGTTCCAAAGTCACCACTCTTTAAATCAGGTTTTTCCCTTTTAACCATCATTTCATAATCCCAAAAATGTAGTGCATGTATTTGTCTTTTTTCATTCTTATCATTTCTCATAAACTCCAAATAAGCTAGCTGTTTATGTAAACAAAATTATGATTAATTAGTTTTGTTATCATAATATAAATAAAAGTGTTAATTATAAGAATTTTCCTTACCAATAATACAAGAAGTGGCCCACAATAGTAGTTTCCTCTATCGGTTTCATCCCACGTCATCTTTGACATTTTCAAGCAATTGGTTATAAAACCACACCAATCAATTTCTCACATAGGTGTTTTGTCTTAAAAAAATGTGGCAATATTGTTGTCTTATAAGTTCCAGGCTTATTTTGTTCACATATGGTATTAACAAACAGTAATAAAAAGTTTATTCTGAAAATAATCCATGAATCTGATGATTCTTTAATTCTCTCTTCAACATCTGATGGTCTCATAGCCTTGAAATTGTATTGTTGCTTCCAATCCATTAATTGTTTTCCTTCACATTGATCAGTGTTATATATATCTTTTCCACCTAAAGAAATTCCAAACAAATCATGAACAAGTTCTCGTGTTATGTCTATCTTTGCATTAGGTAGATGGATTTTCATATTTGATGGATTGAATGAATTCACAACAAAAGGTGCCAATTTCCAAGAAATTCCATTGGTTGTAATTCTCAGCAAAGATCCCAATCCCATTTCTCTAACAACTTTTTTCTGTTCTTTGTTTAAAGATTTAACAATATCATAAAACTTCTTTGGGCTCATTCTTGTTCTCAAAGATAATATGTGATTTCGATTTATTGGCACTTTTGCCTTTTTTTCTTTAACTACTTTTAGAGTCTTTGTTTTTCTTTTTCTTTTTCCTGTTAGTCAATAATTTTCATAAGCTTCTCATAATATAACATATATACTATTAAATAACTAACAATACAAGAAATTCACATGTCAATTTGTTTTGCAAAATATAATATAATACATAAAATAAACATATGAATTTGTTTATAACTTTTAAATTAAGCATGTAAATAGTAATAAACTAACCTGTTACTTTTTCATCAAATTATTTCTTTACAAGGCTATCATTAACTTTAATAGGAGTCATAGATTTGTTGTATTCAATCATTTTAATTCTTGGGACTCTGTCTGATTTCAGTTCCTGTTTTAACAAAATTAATAAGAATTAATTTTATAATATCAAATTCAATTATAATTTTATAAATACTAACCTTAAATTGTTTTCTTTTCAGGTGTCTTGAAAATAGATTTATCTTGCTTCATCTACTTTTTCGTTTTTGTGTTTTGTAATCTTGGACTCTGTCTTATTTATGTTCATTTAAAAAAAATTAAAGATAACTGATTTTATATATATTAAAGTAAATTATAATTTTATAAATACTAACCTTGTGTTGTTTTCTTTTCAAGTGTCTTCAAAACAGATTCATCTTGCTTCATCAATTTTTTTGTTTGCTTTTTTTGAATCTCATCACCTTCTAAACTTTTTTCTTATTCAACATTTTCAACAATAGTCTTTTCATCTTCATTTTTTCTTAATTTATTAACTATTTCTACCACGGTTCTCCTTGCTGTATTTTTGGTATATATTTTTGAACCTTCAACTACAAAATGTGAAAATTTTAATATCAATGTCAAAATTATAAGTAGTATTATGAAGTACATGTCAAACAATATAAAATTGAGCATGTGATGATTAAATTGCAAAAACTTTTTAGAAATTCACATTGCGAATCTGTTAGGCTATGAGCTATATCCAAGATTCACATTGTGAATTTATACATTTAACAACAAAAGAGTTTGAGGTTCACTAAGTGATGTACACATACATATGGTGAATTTTTAAAATTATTTTGTGCATAGTGAATATAAACAAAAGTGTTGATCAACTTGCTAAAAAAAATTGTTTTAAGAGATTCATATTGTGAATCTGTGTGAATGTGAGACATACATCCAAGATTCACATTGTGAATTTATGAATTTAAGAACAAAAGACTTTAAGTTTCACCAAGTGATGTACACATACACATGGTGAATTTTTAAAATTATTTTGTGCATAGTGAATACAAACAAAAGTGTTAACCAACTTGTAATTTTTTTTAAGAGATTTACATTGTTAATCTGTGTGAATGTGAGACATACATCCAAGGTTCACATTGTGAATTTATGCATTTAACAGAAAAAGAGTTTGAGTTTCACCAAGTGATGTCACATACAAATGATGAATTTTAAAATTAGTTTGTGCATAATGAATACAAACAAAAGTGTTGACCAACTTGGAAATTTTTTTTAAAGAAATTCACATTGTGAATATGTGTGAATGTGACACATACATCCAAGATTCACATTGTGAACAGCAAAAGAGTTTGAGTTTCACGAAGTGATATGCACATACACATGGTGAAATTTTCAAAATTATTTTGTGCATAGTGAATACAAACAAAAGTGTTGATCAACTTGATTTTTTTTAAGAGATTCACATTGTGAATCTATGTAAATGTGAGACATACATCCAAGACTCACATTGTGAATTACTTTTTTTTAATAAGTGTGTAGTATATGATTAGATAATTAGTTATTTTAATCTGAATGCGAATGTTCTAAACTTTTTTTTATCTTGAATATCTTCAATGTTTTCACTTGTAGTTGAAGGTAGAACATCTTTTAGATTTCTTGTCAATTTCATTCTTTTCTTATTATCCTTTTTTTCATTTATCTTTTCTTCACTTCCTGTTTTTGATTAACAAATTAATTCAAACATCAATTTCATGGTATAAAAGTTATGATTCATTCATACATTTCACAATGTGAATCTGGATTACAAATGAAGTTAACATAATATTTATTCACATTGTCGATTTAGTTTGAATCAAATTACCAATGCAACTCTTTATAAATTTACAATGAGAAGCACAATAAGAGATACAATATCAATTAAACATAGATGCACAATGTGAATTTCACATGATGAAAAAATTTAATGTATATGATAAATCACCCTGTGAATTTACAATTTGAATAAATGATATGTTAAATTGATATATAACCATGATTCACTTTGTGAATTGTCAAATAATGTAATTCTCAGGAACATTGAATCCTTTCAAAATAATCAAATGTAAATCACAAAGCGCATGGTGAATTAAAAATGTGAAATTAGTTTTTCAGTTTAATGAATAAACTCAGAAACCACTTAGATTCACAAAGTTTTTAGGAAGTTACGGTTTGTAATTTAGATATTGATGATTTATGTATCGATTTGAAGAAATTTATATCATTAGGTTTTTGGTAATTATAAAAATTCTCAAAAGTTCATAAACTTAGGGTTTCGATTTACTTAATAAACTCATATTCGAGTTAGATTCATAAAGTTTTAGGAAATTTCAGTTTGTAATATAGATATTTGTGATTTCTGTATCAATTTCAAGAAATTTAAATCATTAGGTTTTCGTTATGTATACAAATTATTAAAAATTCATCATTCGAGGGTTTCAAATCAGTGTAAAATGATTTTGTTAATAAAATAGTTTATTCACAGATTCATCGAATACATAATGTATCAGATAGTTTAGATTTGTCGTTTTGAAATTTATCAATCGAAAAAATATAATATTGAAAATGCATTAAATGAGATAATTGGAAATGAATAACAGTAAAATATACCTTCTAGATTCATTTTGATGAACTTTTTGG